GTGCAACTATGTTACAACTACCTAAAGATATGGTGTGCAAAGCGTGCTTCAATTGTCTTTAACTTCCTCCAATACCCCGCCCAAATGCTAAAGTCCTGGCCTTTTCTCAATCAGCTTCACAAAGCAAAGCAACCTTGGCCTGTTTGAGTACATCAATTAACGCCTTAAGCTGCATTGCTTTGGGGAGAGGTGGCCTCTCCAGTCAAACTTTGCGTTATGCATCGTACATTGCATATCTTCAGCAATTCAAGGGAAAATTCTACATCCCATTACCCAACTCACCATCCATATCTATCTCGTCATTCAGCCGTGTGTAAATCTCTTATTGCTACCTCTAGATTTACCTCCGCAAGCAATAGCTTAGCCTTTAGCTGCTTTGTTTTAATCTCCAAAGCATCTATATCCTCTCTCAGTCTTTTCCGTTGCCCTACCCTTTCCACAAAATTCTTCATACCTAAAGCGCTAAGAACATGGGGCCCTAGCCAAGCCAAGTCAAACCTGAAGGTCTCAAGCTCCTCCCATAAAAGTTTTAGGTGCTCAGAGACATCATCTGTCATATCCTTGACCTTTTCTGTTTTCTTCAAAAAATGGTAGGAGTTGGCCTGAAGCTGTGAATGCCCACTCAGTAGACATGTGACTTCTCTTCTTTTGGAATTCTATTAAAGAAGGATGCCAGGAACAAACTTCATCAGGTGGCGGAGCAGAAGCTTTTTCTGTTTTACACTTCAACCCCTGAAAACCATGAGCTCCCTAGCTGGTGTGGACGACACATCCTCATGTTCCTTGACAATGAGAGGATTAGCAGGGCTATCGGTGCAAACCTTCTCAGAACTTGGTTCCTCCTGGAAGGCAGAAACCTTGTCATAACATGGTGCCTTATTTGCTGCTGATCAATCTGGAACTTTTAGAGGATTAGATTTGGAGGTCCCTGCTCGTCGTGCTTCTACGAGTTTTTTGTTCTTCTAAAATCTTAATTTCAGACTTATGGACTGCAACCTTGGCTTCAATGATACATGTGTCATTCACAAGATATCCTTTACTATGGTCACAAAACTCACTTAGAGGAATTAATGATGTGACGCCCGAGTTACTGTCCCTTTTATTGAACACATGTTCAGTATCTGCAAAGTCCAAATATTAAAGATCACAAAACAGGTGAAGAAATAACAACAAAGAAAGCCCATTCCAAAGCTTTAAATTTGATGTGTTCATATATGAACTCAATTAAGTTTTCAAAGGCCAACCAAATCCATAAGAAAATATACATATATATATGGAAAAATTCAAGATCTGGATCCATTTTGCAGTACGTGACAGAGGCGGGCAACATGACATATGCATATATATATATATATATGTATAGAGAGAGAGAGAGAGAGAGAGAGAGAGAGAGAGAGAGAGATGCTCTAGTAAGTACGTAAATAAGTAACTAAAATAACTAGTTAGTCCTAAAGTATTAGATCCAAGATTAAAAGACTTCCACAGTCCGCATTGTCAAGACTCAAGATCAAAACACTCCAATTTGAATTGTTTTAATCCGGACTGCAGAAAGAGATCTGATGATCAATGATTTACTGTTTATTTTACCTATTTAACAAATACACACACACACATATATTTATATTCCAAAAAGAACGTTTTATATAGCGAACCTAAGGTACATAATTCAGCTGACATTTGGGGCCAGATTACCCAAATCAATGCCTATAAGATTTTGTTTGTTCTATACCTTAAATAGGAAATTACACTGTCATCCTTAAATAAGTGCTCATTCTTAAATAAACAAATTTGCATATTTCCTTTCCTTTATCCATTTTCAGTATCTTGTGCGGTAAAAATTTAAAGAAGTATAGAGACACCAGTAAGGTGTCGATTCGTAATCATAAACATAATCGTCATTTGCAGTAAGTGTGAGACAGAATCAAAGCAAAACCTTCATAACAGGACGCAACAACCACCAGTTCCCTGTAATAAATTAGCTTTTCCCTAGAAGTTATAAAATAACATGGAAACAGACAAAAACGAAGATAAATGTGAAATAGGCAACAGGAACATAAAACAAAGTACCCTTTGTTAAAGACTCGCTGCTTTGAAGTTGATTAACGATGGTCAAGCTGAATCGCGCATGTCTAGCCCACCCTAATGGCAATGTTGAAGAACCTGTAACATCCAGATAAACCGACAAGCAGTCTACAATGTTCCCCCTTGGATACATAAGGATTCGCCTGACCAAACCAAACAAGGCAAGTAAAAAACCAGAACATATCACAATGTAAAGAAATATATTAGCTTGTGAATGGTAGGAGATACTCAAAAAATACCATTCAAAAACACCGATGACGAAGACATCAGAGTAATGCTTGACAGCATCCAACTTAGAGAAGTTGTCAACTTTCCATGTGAATATAACAGATGCAAGATCTTCCATGTGAATATCCACTTCCTCCAATTTCTTTATTTTTCTACAAATTACAAACCCAAAACCCACAAATAAGAAAATAGCAGCCCACAATAACACCAAACATCACACAAAATAAAATAGTATAGAAGACCCATAACTTCTTTTGTTTGTTTTGGTTACATAGTGACCAAGGCCCAAAAACACAAGTCAGCAACCCACAACACACCTGTATTCTATGACTGAGGGAGGAAGAAACCTGGGTTGAGCAACCCGAGAGATATCCTGAACTAAAAAAGGCTCACAGAGAGGGGGAGGAACATCAAAATAATGGCACCCCACCTCCATAGTCAGCCCAAAATTAGCTAGACAATCAGCTACACTGTTTTGTTGCCAATATGCATGATTCAGAGAACATATCCAGCTTTGGTTAAGGAGATTCTGGCAGCTCTTGATCAAGTTAAACTGAGGGTGTTTCCAATTCACCTCAACTGGGTTATGCATAAGCTTCACAACAGTGGTTGAGTCAGTTTCCACCTCAAGTTGGGCCAAGCCAGATTTCCAAGCAAGCTCCAAGCCTCTGTATAAGGCCCAAAGCTCTGCCTCAATAACTTTGCCTGTTCCCAAATTTGCAGCAAACCCAGATAACCATACTCCTTCTTGATTTCTGATCACACCACCTCCTGCAATGCACCCAGATCCACTGCGGTAGGTTCCATCCACGTTGAGCTTGTGCCAGCCATGGTGGGGAAAGCTCCAGCACAACAACACCTGCTCCTTCTTAACCTTATTATACTTTTTCTTTCTGTTCAGTGTACATAGAAGAAGACCCACAAATTTCAAAGTGGTTTAATTTATCGTTGAGGTTTTGGTTTTAAACAAAAATTAACAAGATTGATATGAAGAACTAAAGGTCAAGCTTTGAAGAATTAAAGCCACTGGTCGGAACACTTACCTTCCCATCGAAGATTCCAACTCCTCAGAGGCAGACTCAGAGACTCGGCTGCTCTAATTTTTTTTTTCTTCTCACGGCTTATAAAATAGGGCTTTCCATAAATAGGGTATAGCTACTCATTGTTATACAAAATTATCGCAAGTTTTCCTACATATTTATCGATAAGTCATCATGATAACTACTAACTTAGCTTGTTTAGAACATAGTCATGACCACACTTGTATTTGATTTGAAAATTTTCTTTGTCTGCCACAAAATTAAGTTTGATAGAATGGTTATAAGATCAGTGGTGGATTATATTTGTTGTAAACTTCTTACTTTAGAAAGAATATATGGACTGCATATACTTTATTGAGGTTAATTTTGTTATTTGTATAAGTTTTTTTTCTTTAATGAAATCATCACTTTTTGGACAAACAATCAATGAAAAGAGGTTTTGTGAAAACAAACTGAAACGTGAGGGGGCGTTCGTGAAATTTTTGAGACTTGAGGGGGTTTTGTGAAAACACAAGAAACCTTAAGGGTGTTAGTGTAAATAACTCTTCAAATTTTTCATTGTCTTCATCATCTCAATATTATCAATATTATCGATATTATGGCAACATTTTAACCAAATGTTGCTGAAGTATGAGAGAAATTATCGATGTCGATATTTTTTGATATTATCAATATTTATAGATATATGTGGATATGTTCCAAAAAATCCTTGACCTGAAAAAACAATAATATCCTTTATATTTCATCGACATTATCGATATTTTAGACTATAGTTGTACTTATATCTTATACCAAGTTATACCTTTCTTATTAGTTTGTACATCTCCTAAGCAATTGGGGAAGTGCCCCTTGCCATGTTTTCTCCACAATAAATTTTGTAGTTAAGAGAGAGGAATTTTGTAGATAAGTTTGATTAATTTGTTAGACGTTTAAAAGGAAATAAAATGGGAAATAAAATTTTCTATTAATCTTGCCATTGATTTACCTTGTCACAAATCCAATAATATATGGCTTCACTTCAGGTTTAATAATAAAAGCATTGATGGTGTGATACAAAATAGCCCTTGCAAAGCTCAAATGAAAAGTCAAGCAATGTGAAATCCAGCAGAGAAATCATATTTATCTTATACATACAATTGGGTCAAACACAACATAAATTCATTTATCTTAGTTGTTCCTTTCCCTAGTGTTATGAATGCCTAAATATCTACCTTCAACCAAGACTGGAAATCCACATGAACATGACTTTGGTAAAAAAAAACAAAAACAAAAACACCACTCTCATTATTCTTACAAAGAAAAACAGCAATGAACAGTAAAGGTGATCTTAGAGATCCCCAAACTTATGGACCTTGAGTCAATTCTCCAATCAACATTCTTGTATCCAATGGCAAATCCACCGACTTCCAGTAACTCATCAGAAGTTCAAGCTCAGGTGTGTCTCTCAAGTTGCTCCACAAATAAAAGAATGCGGGGTTTTCTCAATTTAGTGACAACTCAAGGTTCATTGGTAGCCAATTGAAAACACTCAAAAACTTAAATTACACGCTAATAATATCAAAAGTACAACAACAACCCAAAAAAAACATCTGTTTCTTCGTGTACTGAACATTGCAGTTCTCAGAGAAATTAAATCAAGCGATAGAAAAGTTCATTGGTAGCCAATTGAAAACACTCAAAAACTTAAATTACACGCTAATAATATCAAAAGTACAACAACAACCCAAAAAACACATCTGTTTCTTCGTGTACTGAACATTGCAGTTCTCAGAGAAAATTAAATCAAGCGATAGAAACGCTAGCAGCATGAGATCAATGTACATACGGAAAGGTTTGTGATCATTCTTTTTGTACAGCTGCATCTGTGTCGGGAAAGTAGTCATGCCTGGAACGTGATTAAAAGCACGAAAGGAGAAAAAAAGTCAATACTCAACTTGTCAATAAACTTGTGCGCATGATTTTGATACTTTTCAACAAAACCATCTTTATCCATCCAAAACAATAAATTGCTACTTTGCACCAAAGATGAACAATTAATTCCCAAATCATATATTGAACATTAGTGTATACTGGATTCCAACTTACTTTATTTTGCGTGACAATTGAGTCAAGCCTGTCCCAGCCATTGCAACATTAACACTAAAAAGATTCCAGTTTTTCTGCAATTTCAGAATAATCTCATGAGAGCTTCGCAATCAGCTGCAAGTAAGTTTTTCGGAAGTATCAAAGAATAATTTTTCTTAAGTAGCACAAACATTTATCTGATGCAATTACGAAGGCCACCAAGTGGCAAATCATATAGAACTGAAATAGTTATATACAGCCAATCAACCAGACAAAAGCACTACTTCTTGTGTAATTATATAGGTTGGTCATTATGTAATTCAACCAGCTTCAATAAAGTAAGGTGAAAAAATTAACCAGCCAAGCAGCACCGTTAGAAGACAAAAGAAATGCACAGAAAGGTCCAGACACCATCAGTTAAAAATGAAGTGTCCAGAATAAGTGTTAAGGTAGTATATTTGAGCCCAATAAAAAACAATTCCCAGAAATCCTCTTCCTAAAATCCAATGCAATGAAAACCAGGCTATATAAAAAAGAGAGACTTGCTCAATGAGCAGCTGCTATGTGTCTTCCATCATAAGATGATGGAAAATCAAGGGCACCTGTTTCTTAGGTGCAGTGTCCATCAAAGACTGGTTGATGAGTAGCTGCTAGAAGTTGGAAATAGACTCGAATTGGCTGGTGGACTTGTCAATACAGAGCTTTAAGACAATGTACTTAACTTTTCTGGATTGAGCACATATGCAAAATATGGAAGGAGAAAATTGAAAGAATATATATGCAAGTAAATCTAAAACTGAGGAGCAAATACTTCATGCAGTAAATGAAGCGGCTAGAATACACAATGCAGGTTGGAAGGGTCTAACAGATTCTCCTCCAGAGAGAAGAATCTGCACTTATAGGTAACTAGCTATTTGGACAAGATTAAATCCTCTTTTTTCTTCATCATGGCCTTACAATGCACAAAGATGATAATTTTGTGATGTTAGCGGTCGTGTAGCAGGTTTTACAGCTTATGATGCAACTATTATAAGTTTGTTGGAACTACTTTATAGTCAGTTTGTCTGTTTTATAAAAAAAAAATTCTAAAACAATGAAAACTTAATCAATTAAAAGCAAAAGCAACAAGTGTTGGACCCTAACATCTTTCAGAGCTAGAAAACAAACATACCGGAGTAATCACCATACTGTAACGAGACCAAATAAGCCCAGTGCACGTAACAGCTGCAAAACAATATTTCAGGTATGATATATACCATAATTCTAAACATAGATCACATAGACAGCTGAAAACCTGTATTCCCAAAAGGTGCATACCTAGTTGCTGAGGATAAGAGATATTTTCAGGTGGCTTTGAGAAATCAGCAATATTTGCTATGCTAATGCCCCATTTAAAAGTTGGAGCCCAAAAGTGAACTGCATTATCATGAGACAGTCTTAATCTACGAGTCACTAAAATAACATGGCAGGTTCCGGCACGACACAAAGCAACTCAATAGCCCCACCTGAAAACCTAATTATCATGATTCATGACACATTTTGAGACTTGTATTGAGCAGAGACTTGAGTTCTTGAGATTGAAGAAATTATTTATCTCGTACAAAAATGATTTAGGCATTCGGCTAACAAGTTAGATCCACTATTTTTCTTACTCATGAAATTAACACCAATCCTGCCAGTTATGCCTGTAAGTATAGGGGCGGCGTTTTCTACAGTAAGCATGATTAAAGAATGATTGCACAATTAAATGGAAAATCAATGGATGAATTCATCATGCACTGAAGATTTTGTGTGTAATTGCAATTGAATAGAAATTTTAGATTAAAATTTTCAACATTTTCTAATGTTGCCTCCTAAATTCCTGGCTGGTTCGGTAACCAAAATGAAGTGCATCAAAATTGATCATCTCCGCATATTTTAATCAATAGAAAATAAAAAATTGATAATTCCATTGTCAAAACCTGATTGTCTGCATGGATAAGACAAAACCCAGATGCCAAAATTCAATCTTTTACAGGATCAAATCTAATACAGTATAATAAAGTTCAAAACTCTCAAAACCGTATAAGAACAATTATAGAATGTTGAAGGAAAACATAAAAAGAAAAATGAAGATAACGAACTGGTTTTAGGGCCTGCTGGATGGTTCCAGAAAGCTTGGACCTTCGAAGCTGCCATGGGAGATCGGTTTCTATCTGTCTGGCTCTGTCTTTGTGAGTTTTGGCAAAACAGGGTGAAGTTTAGCTTACCACCTCGTGCCACCTACTTCAGGACCTGACCGATCAAGTACAAGGTTCTAGGCTTGTGCCCATATTTGGAAAATTCTTTTATCAGTTTGTACCATATAGATTTTTTATTTTTATTTTTAGTTTATTTTGTACTAGATGGATAATCAGGTACCATATAGGTTTTTTATTTTATTTTATTTTATATTTATTTCAGAGACATTTTTTTCGTAATAATTTTTAGTGAAATATAGGTTAGGACTTTAACTTTATAATAACAGAAATGAATTTAGAACATGGACTTGTAAAGTCAACTTGGGCCGTTGCCAATATTCGACTACACAAACAAAGAGAAGAGAAAGAACATAGGTAGGCCCTTTCTATTAACTTTTATCCTCTAGTATTTTCCAAGCATGCAGTGCCCAATTGGCAACATTAGTTTGCTCAACTACATGGCACAATATAACAACTGTTTACTCTAAAATTCCTTTGTGTTAGTGTGGGAAAGTATATTGCAATTGTAAAGTATTAAAAAACAAAAGGGAGTGTAAGTATTAAAAAATAAAAATAGCATAAAACACCCAATTAGCGAAGAAGATTGTAATTGCTTTTAGTTTCAATTGCCTTCACAATGAGCTGAAACCAAAGTCTAAAATATCGATAATATTGACGAAATATCGAGAATATTATCGTTTTTTCGGGTCACAGATATTTCGGAACGTATCTATACACATATCGTATAAATATCGATAATATCGGAAAATATCGATATCTATAATTTTGCTCACACTTCAGTAATATTTTGTCAAAATATCGCTATAATATCAAAAATATCGATGTAATGGAAAAAGATTAAAAAAAACACACAAAGCACACACTCAAAGGGGATTCAAACCCCTGCCATTTCACTCCTCCAACGCCTTAACCACCATGTTGCTTATGTTTTTGTGATAATACACAAATAGGAACTCTATGTGGTACTAAGTCACTCATGTATCTTACCATGCAATGTATAAAGTGAAAAATATTGTAGTAAATCATTATATATAAATGATTATGGCGTGTTTAATCTTTTTTCATTAATTACTACATATTTTTTACACTCACGGTGTTTGTCAACTCGCTATATAATCAACTTAAATCAGTTAAATCCATCATGCAATGCATTTTCTTCCAATTTTTTGTGATAAACTAATAGATAATTGACTAAATAAACATCCTCTAAAGTTTCAATAAAAATTTCCAAGTTTTTCCGTGGTTTTTTTTTTAAAATTTTTATCAATATTGATAATACCCCGATATTTCAAACGAAATTTCCTCATTTTTGGACTACCGATATTTTCGATACCATCGATATTTTAGACCTTGGCTGAAACTAAATAAAGAAGATTGTAATTCTGATTACTTCATTAGTCTATTATCTCAGTCTAGCTTTAGGAGATAGAGGAAAGGGCATAAATAAAGCTGAAACTAAAATTTATTTGAAATTGTCTTTTAAAAGCAGGTTTTTATATTACAAACCAATGTGATTTATGTTATGTTTCCTAACTTCTATAATCTCTTTTCTCACATTTTAATCCATTTTCTTGTAAATTGTCATTAAAATAAAACAAGAAAGTTTCCAAATGGACCCTAAAATGTTCTTCAAGTTTTTGCTTTCCATATTTGACCTTTTTTTCCCTTACTTTTATTCGGAGCATCTTGCAAATATAAAATATTGGTAACAAAGTTATTGTCCATTTCTCTTGCAAAATTGTGCAGATTGAAGAAATTTTAGAGGGAGAAAAGGTGCTTGAATGGTGGAGAGAACACACAGAGATTTTACTACAAAAAAACATGAATTCGGCAACAACTAGATGTTGTCAAATGTCGTTACCTAAAAGTATAGGCAACACAAAATTGTCGTTGCAGTATACCCGTGTCCTAATGTAATAGGCAATGAAATTTTGAAGTTGTTGTGCGAACACAAATGCAATACGAAAGATAGTCATTGCCATTTGTCTTAGGAAACGACTATAAGGTTGTTGCTTTTTCTCTTTTCCAACACTTCGCTTGTCATTGCATATCACATAAAGAAAGGACACTTGAATCATTGCTGAATATTATGGGAGACGATACTTATGGTCTCTTATAGTTTTGATTTATTTAATTAAATTTTATAGTCTCCTCTTCGTCGTCTCCACTATAGGCTCCTCCTTTGCCTCGGGGTTTTCACTACTTTCCCCAAATATAGCATCCCTTATAATGCTATCAATTGCTGAGCTCACCCATATCTCATCCTCTGACTCACTTTCCGAAGGGTCCAAAGCTGAAGAAATGGATTGAGTCGCATTTGCCATCAACTCATCAACCAACTCCTCGAAGTCCATGTGCCTCATGGACATATAGGCCAACTTGAAATTGAACTCATCTAGCACATCCAAGTAAATGCTAAAGTCATCTCGAATGGTACCTGTACTGTACATGTGACAATGCAGCACACAAGTCCTTGCCACAAACTTCCTATCCAGTAGGTAGATCATCAAAGTATCAAGATGATGCGCCAATGCCACAAACTGCATCTCTTCTAACCCACAATTCAGATCCCAATTCAGCTCCATGTTTTCAATTGCCTCTATCAGCATACCCCCATGCACCAAAGAAGCATCAATGGAAATCTCTGAGGGTTCCATGGCAAACACATCCACGAACACCTCAATCACCTCAATCACCGGTTGCTCAATCGCATCCTCTCCCAAAGGATATTTAGGTGGGATAAATCTTAGTGAATTCAATAAAACCATTGGACTCACCTGGAGACTGCTGCCCTCTTCAACACCTCCATCTATCTATGTCACAATTGAATTCAAGTTCTGCCTCTTCGGACAATCCTTCACACGGTGAGGTCTTTGGCATAGAAACAACCCGAGAACTTCTTCTTGTCCTTGTGCTTCTTGCCTTTGGCTCCATCTGGAAAAACCCTAATCTCTTTCCCTTTGTCGACTGGCTTGTTGTCCAAATGTCTCTTCCCACCTTGCTCATTTTTCCCACTGGAAGTGACTACTACTATGTAGTCGATTAGTCTATCGGCTGCAGCAATGGCGAAATTGAGACTTTTCACATATTGTCTCCTCAATTTCGCCTGTGCCCAGAGCTGCAAATTCATGAGGAAGTTAAACAACTTATCCTCTTCTGACATATTAGACACGTCGAACATCAAAGAACAGAAAGCCTTCATGTAGTCCTTCACTAAACCCATTTGCTTCAAGTTCTTCAAGGCTTCCTTTGCTAGCCATGCAGCATTGCATGGAAGGAACTGAGCTCTCATTCCTTCTTCTACACAACCCACTCTTCAATTGCAGGTTTACCCCCACTCACCACTTCTTGCATACGAGTCCTCCACCATAACTTAACATCCCCAGCCAAGTACATGCTCGTGATAGACACCTTCTTGGCATCCAGAATCTTGGTAGCTTGGAAATACTACTCCATATCGCACAAGAAATTCTCCAACTCTTTGGAGCTCTGCTCGCCAACATATGATTTTGGCTCATGCACTTTGATCTTTGTCATCATTGAGCCCTCATAACTTGAAGTCCTGCCACTCAAAGCAAGCTTCACCACGCTCAATTCTATCTCCAACTCCTTGAGCTTTCCATCAATGGTCTCCCCTAAGCGATCCATATCACCTAGAACATTGGTGACCTTCTTCTCTATCGAAGCTTTCAACTCTCCGAAGACTCTTTCAATCTCTGTCGTATTAGCATTAAGATCTTCCACTCTCTCTTTCAAGGAATCACTACTTCCAGCCATCCCTATCTCGCGTTGCAACTCCAAGACTGTTCTTTGCTTGAAAATTGCCACTCTTCTACGGATCCCAGGGGACAATCTGCACTCGAACTCCACTTGAACTCAACAGAAACATGACTAAAGTACGCTCTGATACCAACTGTAACAGTGGTGAAAAACTCTTTTAATTTTTCGACCCTTGTTTGGCACTTAGACTCCTCCTAAGTCAACCTTCTCGCACCTCTAACTCATGAGGCTTCAGATTTCACATAGCGGCACAAGTGAATGCCAACACACCCAAGCAAGACTTGCCTACACAGGAAAACTCTCACACTCAATATAAGGGCAAAGTTCCCAACCTTTTATTTCTCTCAAATAGCAAAAGATTACAAGCTCTTACTTTTTGTTGGACTACCATATCACTTGGTATCTCAACTCAACTGTCACAAGGCATTTATAAGCATAAACTATGTAGATGACACCCCCATCTATTAAGGAAACGTTGGCAGCTTCTAGATCTGCCACCTAGACATTCGTTTCTATCCAACAACCTGTTCAGTCCCCTCTTGATGCCACCTAGTGGTAAACTACCCCCACTTTCTCTTTAAACTTCTCCCCACTACTTGGAACATGTAGTCACTATCTAGTAAACCGCCCCTACTTGCTCCAACACTCATCCATATCCCAAATTTTAAGCTACAACAATCCTAGCCACGTTCTAACTCTTTTGAAACTGCTTAAAACCGTTCAGCCACATTAGAATCCCTCTACAATTCGTCTGCCATAATCCTACCACGTCCCAGTGCACGTTCTGTCACACCTTCACTACACATTTGGCTTGCCTTGGCATGGTGCAAAACATCAAAACTACGACATGGCCTATGCCACTTATTAAGGGTCTTACACATTCCCATTGGAGAAAAATATAGAAAGATAAGAGGGATTCATCATCTACCCAACAATCGTCCATTTTTTAGCCACAAAAACAATTCATTATACCTAAGAGAGATGCTTAAAAGAAAGAATACACAGACATCAAGTATGGCATCATCAAAAACATGAAAGATGACATCATCAAATTAAACAATAACAAAGCCCTTGATTTGGACACCTATTAAGATATGAAACTAAAGCTGAAAGCATACACCTTAGAAAAGTAAGAAAGAATGAATAAGAGATAGGAAAATTAAAAAGTGAATAAATAGAATTACCTGAAGGAGCCTCGTGCTTCGTTGCTTGATGTTTCGTTGTTGAATACATGTTTTTTTTTGTAGTGTCAGTACATAACCATATGACCGAGAGAAGAAAGCATGACTCTAGTTGTGTGTACGAATAGGTTCAAAAAATTTAGATGATGTTGATGGAGGCTA